TTTTTTTTGAATCAAAAGCGATTTATTAAGGTGGAAAATGAAAGAACGGTTACCCAAAAAAGCTTCAGTGCAGTATTCAGATTGCAGAGTGGATGACACAATGGTGCACCCCAATGATCGGCATGTTCAAACGCATCACGCATCAACTCATCAATTTGATACATTTCGGCAAAGTGTTCCGGGCGCAACATCGTTCCAGCATCTTTTGCGGAAAATATGATAAATGCGCGTTGTGGTGTGGTGGAAATGTTGTAAAACTGCATGTACACATGTTCTTCCCTGCAAAACACGCTTTTTAGCAGACTAGTAATAAATTTATTTAATAACTTTATTTCTTTTCTAACACCTGCCAGTAATTTTTGGCAGTGTTCTATCAGAGTGATTTTTGGCAATGTTCTAAGTCCTGCCAGTGATTACTTCCAAGTACCTCCACCTTTTACGGAAAGTGAAAATATGTAGGGCATTTTGACTACCTCAGCTGCTTATTATATAAACTTTCATGATTGTAGTTTCAGCAGACAGGAGAAACACCCAGACTGCAGAGCATGAGGTCTGCCCGTGCGATCATATGTTTTTGTGCTAAACTTGAAAAATATAGGTAGTTAACTGTACGAATGTTTGCTGCGTTACAATTAACTTGCACAGTAATTAAAGTTAAACATTGTAAATTTTGCATAAAAGAGAATGAACATTTCCATGAAAATTTCTATTTTCTGTTGACCGGTCCCTCATTTAAAACGACCTAGCTGTTGTGACTTCCAATCTAGCAATTTTCCCACCAAAAATTTCATTCGTCCATACGTTACAACCATACGCACTTAGAAAGTGAATTTTAAGTCTTTAGATCGAACATTTTTCCAAAATTCCCGTTTTCTAACATCCTTGGTTTCCTTTTAGCAGTTTTCTCGCCAAAACTTTCACAAACCCGTTTGCAGGACACAATAACATTTGGTAGGGCTGGGTTATGGAACTCCCTGACAAAATTTCAGCGTCGAAGCTTGTTT